ATGTGTGTTTTTTTTTCAAGCTTTTCTCAGTGGTTGTTTCCCATGAGGTATGAGTGTATTTTCAGCTTTGTATGACAGTTTCTTGGCAGTTTTTTGCTACTTTTGTGCCCTTGTTGTATACATATACTGGCATTCACACATTAGCATGCACAGGCAGGTTGTGTACTGTTCTTAATATTAAAACCCTGTTTATAAGCACTGCAATAAAAAAATAAATTTTAAATGTTTCAAACAAATGTTGTAGTTATATTTTTTTTATCTGGATCTAAAATAAAGTTTACATTATCATAACTAGAAAATTTATGTTAAAATTTTTGAACTTAAGTTGAAACAGCAAATATTGTAAAGTCAAATGAACTTCAATAAAACAATTCAGCACTAGGCAAGATTTAAATTAGTGAGTTGAAATGACTTGTACTTTTAAGTTGATTTAACTTAAAATTTTAAGGCAGCCACAAAACTTACGTTTTTTAAGTTGAAAGGGGTGACAATTTTTTACAGTGTGTGATTACAAGGATACTTGCAAAGAAGGGTATTTTGACTCATATAAGTGTGTATTTAACCGTTCAAGGCCTATAAAGTGGCAAAAATAACTCCATACTCTTAATAGTTCAATATGAGCACCGTCTTCGTGTCTTCATATAGACAAATAGTTCTCTTTCACTGCTGATTGTGTTTCAACGGCTTAAATCACTTGTTTTGCTTAAAAACGTGTGTAAACGATAAGTTTTTGTGACCGTGTAACCGCGATAGAGATGATAGTCAAAAATCTCTACCAGCTGACAAATTTCTAAAGGTTAATTGTGTCTACCGGTATATTGCCCACCCCTAACTGCAAATAGTAACTTTTAAATCAGTATTTTTTGTCTTGTTTTCCAATAAAAAGTCTTATCATATATGCACAATGTTACTTATCAAGTACATTTTTTTTGTTTTGTTTTGTTTTGTTTAAAAAAAAAAGATTTCCTGGCAATCAGCACAAAAATACTGAAAATGACAATAAGAGAGGGCACATGTTGAAAGTTTTTATTGGTTTGTCTAACAGACAGAGCTCTTAAAGGTCTCTCTGTACTGCAGTTATTTTCTGCAGTGCACACTGACTGTCCTGCTTTGAATCATTTACATCAAGATTTGTTTATTAAGAGGCGCAGAGCCAATAAGCCTAAAAGTTAAGCCTTCAATTCAAACACATCTCTGAAACTACAGCTTTACAAACATATTGCATATTGATGGACAAACTGAAATCAAGTCACCTTTATTTCTATAGTGCTTTATACAATACAGATTTTGAATCTTCAAAGAGATAAACAGGAAAGCAGCAGAATCAATTATGGAAACTAAAGCTAAGCAGACAATTCAGATTCTGCTGTAAAGCAGCTAGACAATAATGCCATTATTTAGCTAATGTCCGTTCAGTGTAGTTTAGTTCAGATCAATAGCAGCGTGAAGACAATTAATCAGGTATAAGCAGTTCTACAAAAGGTAGAAGTGTGGTTATTCAGCTCGAGTCAGTTCAGTGTTGATTCAATTCAGTTCAATACCAGTGTCGATATTGCAAGAAACACCTCTGCTGTAAAGCAGCTCTACAGAAGACAGTAGTGCCATCATCCAATTTAATTCAGTTCAAGTTTTTTTCTCATCCAGTGGTGTCAGTTAATGCGGTCATATCGATGAGTTACTGAAAGTTACGTCTTTCAGACCCGAACTAAAGAAGCCAGAAGGCAAACTTGTCCCTGGAGAGAAGTAAATGTTAGTTCCCATAGTTTAAAATGACAGCTTGGCATGATTGTATGTTTGGCTGCTTTGAAATGGAGTATGTTTTGGGTTTAGTTTGGTTCCTAAATAGAGTCACTTTAAGCATATTGTTTGTTTGTTTGTTTATTTATTTATAAAGCACAATTAAAACAACGTAACATTGACCAATGTGCTGTACAATCTCTAAATAAAAATTACATAGTATTAACTTTCAGACAAACAATGACCAACAACAACAAATGTTATAAAAAAAAAACCCTCTTGCTAATTAGTCTGCAGAACCAAACACTAATTCAAGTAAATGCACTTTCAATATTCGTTTCAAAATAACCTAATGACGGAGCCAGTCTGAGATGTAGAGGTAGCTTATTCCAGCGCTTCGGAGCTGCTACTGCAAATGCCCGGTCACCACTCAATTTCAATCTAGTCCTTGGAATGTCTAGGATCATGGGTGGTTTGTATATACGAAGGAGATCCACTAAATAAGGTTTAGTGGCCAAATTATGCAATGCTTTATATACAACAATGAATAGTTTAAAATCAATTCTGTACTGCACTGGCAACCACTGAAGTGAT